TAGTGGTAGTAATAGTAGTAGTAGCAGGAGTAGTAGTAGTTGTTGTTGTAGTAGTAGTAGAAGTAGTAGTAGTAGTAGTAGTAGTAGTAGTAGTAGTGGTAGCAGCAGTAGAAATAATGCAGCCTGACACACACAACTTGAAGTCGAGGTGCATGCCTTCATGTTGTAGACAGAGGGGCTGCCTGTGCTGTTTCCGATGCCAACACATCAGTAGTAGCTCGAGACCAGCACAACATGCAATCAATGACCTCTTCGGCTCGTTTCGTCGGCTCGAGTCTGTCATCACATTCCTGCCCATTGCCTAGAATCGCCTAGAACTTAGACTTGAAGAGCGCTCAAAAGATCTGTCACAGTCAAATTTCAGCCTTCACGACCAAGGCAGCGTGGCTTTCTTGGGAGCCGCCTCGCACTAAGCGACCGGGCACGCGTCGCATCATAGGATTACAGATTTCGAAGTGCTCAGGTGGTGGTTGACGCACACCGCTGGGCCAACGCAGGATGGAGCACGGAGGCAATTCAAGCAGCGGTCAGGGCCCAAGGAAGGATCAACAGGCCTCGGTCAAGAGTCCGTCTGCATATGTAGCAACAAGGCCAAGCAGCAGCATGGAGCGCTCTGGCAGTGTGCTGCCATGAAGGCCGGCAGACGCATGCTGCCTGGACTGTGCATGCAAGAACCTGCAGCAGGAATTCTATTCCATGCATTCCGGAGTGGATTCTGAACGTCGCCTTGCAGCCGTCGAGCAGCGCGAAGAAGAAGAGTTCAGCTTAGGCGCGGCTGCCTGTGTTGTCATCAGACTTTACTCGATAAACGGGTAAAGCCTATCGGCCAGCTTTCACATGCGTGCACAGGCTTGATGTGGCGGGGAGCGGCGTCTCTGAGGGAGTGCTCCGTACCGAAAGGCGCCTCTTGCGGTCTATCATCCCGCGATTGTATTTCGGCATGCAACGGAGGGCAGCGGGAAGCATCGGTGACCGAGCATGTGGCGCACAACCCACGCGTCAGAGACTCGCAAGGACAGCCTGATTCTCCATCGGTGCGAACCCTTGCCACGCAGGACTCCCCATGGCTGAGCTACTCCAGCGACCTCGCGACTGCCCTGTGGTTTGCCGTCGCCAAGGCTCGAACGAAGTTTCGCAAACATGAAACTGTACGTATCTTGTGGAGGCCCGCTACAGAGAACGCCGGATCCTGGCTTGCATCGACCCCACAGAGCACGCTACCTTCACCGTGCAGCAGGCCGAGCATGAGTGAGCACTCAAGGATAGCCGCGCTTTTAAGCTTTGCTGCAGGATTCCAGCCTCACGAGCCGAGGCAACACGCGCCCACCGTCGCCTGCGGACCTCCAGAGGGTCAGCGTCCGCCTTGCGCATCAGCCACTGGTGGTGCTTGTCATACGACCAGGCTTGTCGCCTGGCGAAGAAGTCTCATGAGCGACTTCTGTGTTCGGTGCCGATCGCCGCCATCGTCGCCCGCCGCGTCCGGGCCCCGGTTCAACTTGAGAAGATGTAGTCTACAGTGGAGAAGTACCGCTGCAGGAAATCGTGGTGCAGCAGGACGACGTTGAGTGGGCGGATCGTGTGCGTCGCCACTCGACTTGGACAGTGCCACCACATCGCGAAGAGCTGCTGGCCGTGAGCTTAACACAGTCCTCGCATGACCGATCAATGACCAGTCACAGCATCTAGGCCTGGGCAACGAGCTTGGAAAAGTCCTTCCGGCGCGCCCCTCCAAGCTAAGTCGCCCCGCCCTGAGCGAAGCCTGGGATGTCTAGACTTTCAATGCTTGAGTCAGAACGACAGCATGTAGCCTCGACAGATGTTTTGTTTCGGCGAACTTCTCAGCAGTTGAATGTTCGAAGTCCTTGCAGCTGCGAGTTACAGGCAGGAGATGTTTTGTAGCAGCGAACTTCTCAGCAGTAGACTGATTGAGGCCCGAGCGAACGCCGGCCCGCGCCGACTACGTGTGAGCGCCAATTCTGTAAGCTCGACAGTTCTTCCGGAACGGAGAAAACAACAGAGCGGTGGAGCTTTGCAAGCGGCCGTGCCTAGCTGAGCACAGCAGAGCAGTGAGCAACATGCAGAGGCCTGCAGAGGGATACGTCCTCGGCAAGCATCGGCTCGAATGTAGAGTAGAATTGCATAGGCAGGCTTGAGCCCTGATAAGGTTAGGAGGTCCGAGGCAGCCTGGCGTTGGAATGGTTTGGAGGAATGTATTTCTGCAAAGGTAAGTGATTGAAAAGTGAATTGAAAAAGTGCTTCGGATTTTTCGTGCACCCTGCAAAAGTGATTTTGAAGTGATTTGGGCAACTCGCAGAAGTGATTTTGAAAAGTTATCTGAAAAATCATTTGAAAATTATTCGAGTACACGATTGCAGCGCGATGTTGAAATCCCTTTTTGCGGACGTGATTTCAAACTGGTTCAAGGCCTCAAAAGTGATTTCAAACTGATTCAGGCCCTCAAAAGGCGATTTCAAAGTGATTCAAGCCCTCAAAAGGTGATTTCAATCTGATTCAAGGCTTCAAGAAGTGATTCGGCCTCAAAATGCGATTTTGAAGTGATTCAAGCCCTCATCAAATCACGTTTATTTCGCTTTTTTGAATTGTGTACGATCACTTTAATTTCACTTTTTCGCCCGGCCAAAACTCATTTTTTCCGATTTCCAAATCACTTTAATTTTGCTTCAAAGTCACTTTTCAGCACACTTGGAATCAGCTTTCCGGGATCCCGATTTTGAAATCACTTTTGAAATTCATTTCGGACCTCACTCTAAAATCATAAAGTAGTTGTTTAGCAGTTTCCAATGCCAGGCTGCGACGGGACCTCCCAATGATAAGGGCTCTTGGGGCCTGGGCTCTAACTAGGGGTTTAGGGTTTAGGGTTTAGGGCAAAACCTAAGGTTTCAAGTATTCAAAGGGTATAGCTATACTTTGACCGAGGACATACTAAATTCGAGGTCTTTTGGGGTCTATGTAACGTGAAGGGACTTAGTAGCTATAGAATTTTTTAAAGTGGTCTTTACTGCGCGTAGCTAGCTCACTAGAACGATGACTAGTTCTTGGATCCTACTTGCATTGTTTGCGTAATTACTCCTGAACGCCTTAGGGGCCCTAAACCCTGGACCTTAAATACCCTAAACTCTAAGCTCTATCATAACCTAAACTCTGTAAGCCCTGCACCCTGACTCCCTAAGCTCAAGCCGAGGACTACTACGGACTGCTGGGCTTACCTGCATACACCTCAGACAAGAAGGAGATTAAAGCGGCCCACAGGAGACGTACTCTTTTGCAACACTTGGTCACCAGGGTTTGGGACCCCTAAAGGAGTTCAACAAAAAAAGCCCCTTAACCCTAAACCCTAAGCCTTAAAACCCTAAACCCTAAAAACCCTAAACCGTAACCTAAGGCATGAACGTCAGGAGAACCGTCAAACTGGTTCATCCGGATATCCTCGGCGCCGCCTCTGGCGACCTGCAGGTTGCGGTTTAGGGTTTTGGGTTTAGGGGCTTAGGGCTTAGGGAGTTTAGGGTTTAGGGAGGGGTTTTGGGTTTGATTCTCGGGGTTTAGGGAGTTTAGGGGTTTAGGGAGTTTAGGGTTTCTAGAGTTTTTTGGGTTTAGGAGTGTAGGGAGTTTAGGGTTTCGAGGGTTTTTGGGTTTCGGGGTTTAGGTAGTTTAGGGTTCAGAATTTCGGATATCATTTGCACTTAGAAGACGGAGCTGAGACCCTGCATCGTGAAGCCACGGAAGCCTCACCACTGAGCTGCAAGCCATAACCTGTGAATCAAGGGACTAAAGGAGGGACCCTTAAAGCGACCGTTGGGGCCCTTGGTTTTTTTGGGGGCTCTATGAGGCTATATAAGGGTTATATAATGTATTAGGATTATGGGTCCCTTCTAGGGGTCCCTCCTATTGCCCCTTAAGCGAACCCCAACGGCATAACTTTGCCAGCCTCTGTTTTAAGCTTCAGAGAATGGAGGAAGCTCAGTGGTTATGCAGGAGCCCTATATTTGCAGTTTAGTACTTCGGAGCTTCAGTGCTTCCGATCATGATCCCTCTTTGGAACCCTAAACCCCTAAACCTAAACCCTAAACCCTGAACCCGTTTATTTCATTGGTTAGTCAGCTCCTGTGCCTTGGCGGACGACCACACTTCACAACGGCGCTCTAGGTTCCCAAAGGGTCCTAGGTACTCTCACAGGGGATACCTTCCCAGCTCATAGTAACTCTTCCTAATATAGGCACCCTACATTCTATTATATAGGTACATTGCACCCCTTGCGAGTTGAAGCTGCTGTTGATATTCTGGCTGGCATGAGTATCACCCGTATAAGTCTTTTCTGAGATGCACGGCTATATCAAGCCCAATACATAATATAGGGGCTAACCTACTAAGCTGCGGCACTGGTCGGATAGTCGCGCTTTAATGCTCGGGATGCTCGGGCTGATTGGAATGGAACAACTTCTCGCTTTCGTGCCGATATGGCACTTGTTCCGCTTTGTTGAATAGTCTTTCGTCTTCCTACGTGATGCAAGCGCAGGTCATTGTGAATGCTGCATATCGCACTCTCAGCGATGATGCGACACGAGAAAGTTACGATGCTGGGCCGCGCAGTGCCGAGGGGTGCTGAGAGTTTATGGTCTTAGGGTTCAAGCTTCGAAGTCCTTTTAAGGTTTCGGTGTTTATGCTTGCAACTCGTGTTCCGCTATGGGGTTTATGGCCTTAAGCTATTGTGTTTAGGGTCTCGGGTGTGCTGCTTCAAGGGTTTTGGCTTCATTTGGGTGCGCCCTTCATTCATCCCCGATTTCTGATCGATGTTCGGGGTTTAAGTCTGGCCCAAAGCCTGAAGCCCAAAACGCAAAACCCCTGAACCCCTAAACCCTAAACCCTGTAAGCTCTAGAGCCCGAAAGCGCTTATTCGAGCACGGGCCCCAACATGACTCACTCGAGACCCCAATGCCGGGAAGTCAAATTCTACACTCCGACCCTGTTTACCCACAAAATCATAGATGAATCTCTAAAATACTTATAGAAGCCACCTCACAGACGCCTTCCCTAACCACCCCCAATCACTAAATTCCACATACCGACCCCAACCCTTACCTCTAAGCCCCGATCTCTTGGCCCTAAGCCCGAAATCTTATGAGCCCCTAAACCCCTAAACTTTAAACCCTACAGGGTTTAGGGTTTAGGGCTTATGAGCCCCTGAACCCCTAAACTTCCCAGAGACTCCAATATCCCTTAATTAAGGAATGTACCTTAAATCATATCAGGGATCCTACTACAGTTTAAGGCATATTCCTCAAATAAGAGATATTGAAGTCTCGGGGTTCAAAGCCTCTTTGCCCTAAGCCCTAAACCCCTAAACCCCTAAACCCTAGACCCTAAACCTAAACCCTGAACCCCTTTTAAACCCTAAAGGGTTTAGGGTTTAGGGCCTATGAGCCCCTATAGACCCTTAAACTTCAAAGCCTACTTCTTTGAGGGAACCCTAAGGGTCCAAAGGACCCAATAATAAGGTACTTTGGTTGCGGATAGTCGGGTTTAGGGTTTAGGGTTTAGGGTTTAGGGTTTAGGTTATCTAGGTTAATATTTGGGAGAGTATATGATTATTAGATACTTGGACGCTTAGGGGAATGCCTTGAGCCCCACTCCGAGGACACGACGCTTCGGCGGAGCAAACTTGCGGGGATCGCCATGAGCCAGTGGAACAAGAAAGGGAAAGTAGGCTCCTTGATTATTTAGGGCTTGCAGGGTTTGGGGTTTCGGGTTCAGGGTTCAGGGTTTAGGGTTTAGGGTTGAGGGTTTAGGGTTTAGGGTTGACGGTGTAGGAGGGATAATAGGCTGCTTTGGGTTTAAAGTTTAGGGGTGCAGGCTCTTCAGGGTTCAGGGTTCGGGGTTTGGAGGGTTTAGGGTTTAGGGCTTTAGGGCTTGGTCTAGGGGTTGGGGCTTTAGGCTCCCTGGCGTTCATGGTGTAGAGGTTCTCTAAACATAGATTCCGTTTCTAGTGACCTTTGTGATAGCCAACCCTCTACAAAGTTGTCATGTATTGTCGGAATTTTCAAGTCAGGTGTGTTGAACATTGGCTTTTTTTGCACCCTAAACCCTAAACCCTTTTCAACTTTCAGAGCTTCTAGCGCTTCGCGCTTGACGTGTCTGCCCTTGCTCTGTTTGCTACAGCGTTGTGTCTGGCTCTATTTAGGGGTTTTCCGAAAATAAAGGGTACCTTATTCTGGGGTCCGTATAATAAGGATCCTGCTATTTAGGGTACTATATTAGGATCCCCTATTTTCGGAAACCCGCATTTTTTGTGTGTCGTAATACCGTGATCTTGTCAATCGCTGTATTTCGCACCACCATCTCCTGTCTAACGATGACTGCTAATGCTTACGTAGATGGTTTTATCTTCCTTGTTTTCATGGTTAGCTTGGAGCTGGGGGTTTATTTTGTTCGTTTTGGATTGAAGATGTTTGCACGCCTATGTTGAAGTAGAGGTCCTAAAATTAAAATTCTAAACAATGGACAGATCAATAGGGGAATAATGACGACAATGGCAGCAGAAATACTGGACTGTCATTGCATGCCTCACCATGCCAAGTATTTGAGCATGACCTGCTAGCTTGGAGCAAAGACAATAAGAAGGTTGCAAATGAATTGAGGGAGTCTCCAAAAAAAGCCGAGATACTAAAATACTAAACCCTAAACCCTCCACCCTACATCGCAAGATGCGAGTGATCATGCAAGACCCAACTCAAACCTTAAGGCTATCCTTCGCTTCAGTAATTGCGGGCTTTCCGTTGCGGTTTAGACACTATATGCTCTAACCTAGAATGCTTATACGCGCCAAGCCTACGGTTCGGTGTTGTGGGTAAGGGTGTCCTTATGACCCCAAGCTCGCAACGCTCGGCAAGTGAAACCCAAAGAAAAAACACTTCTCTGCTTATGAGTTCAATCAACTCAAGCCGCTCCCCCAGTCTGGTGACCTTACACTCCCAAAGAGTCCAATGTACCTATAAAGTCATAGTCGAATGTAGGGTTATTTCTATATCAGGAATAGTTATTCTGATTTGGGAAAGTATCCCCTATAACAGTACCTAGGACCCTTTGGGAGTTCTAAACCCTAAACCCTAAACCCTAACCCCTAAACCCTACACCCTAACCCGAAGCCCAACTGTACCTAGAACCCTTTGGGACTTTCTGCGAAGCTGATGCCAAGAGGCCTTTTCGTTGACGAGACCGTCTGCTCCAGCTGTCTCAAATGCGCAACGCAATGCCCTGGCACTTTCGAAGTGGACCCCTTGACACGGAAGCCCCTCAACAGACACAGAGGCTACAGACTGGAGGATTCCAGCAGTGAGGCTTCGAGTCTTGAGATTTTGGAGCTTAGGACGTCAGGCTTAGGGTTTAGGGTTTGGGGTTTAGGGTTTAGGGTAGGCTTTGGGTTTTGGAGTCAGGTCGCGTCTGGCGTTGTTCCGATGTGGCGTCCCGCTGGAATTCGGGAAACATGCCCTAAACCCTTAGCCCGGCACTCTAAATCCCAAAGGGTCCAATGTACCTATATAGTAGAATGTAGGGTTTCTATGTTAGAAATAGTTATTATGGTTTGGGAAAGTATCGCCTATAGCCTATAACAGTCAAAGGATCCTGAATCTAGATATTTGTTAAGCCAAGAAAAGGAACTGCAATGGAGGTTATAGGTATTTACTATCTGTGTATGTGTGATACATGCGATTTACTGATAGGCACCCGAGGGAAACTCCAGGACAAGTGTGGCATCCGATTCGCAAGCCTCTGTGTGTTTAGCTCTGGACGGCGCAGGCCCCTAAACCCTAAACCCTAAACCCCATGAATTTGATTTCGCTCCGATGCGCACAAAAGCTAGGTAGGCCTTTGGGACTTTTTGATAGTTCCCTTACTGGGCTTAAGAGGATCTTCTTTACGACATTTTCAGAAGCCGTCAAAGGTCAACCTAACATAGCATAAAGATTAACAGTCATGTCCCTTTATAGTCCTTCATGATAGCTTGCATGCCAAAGTGTGCCCCAAGTCCCGATGAATGATCATGACGCCCCCTCCAAGTCAATGGTCTGGCCATAGTATACTTGTTGTGTCTAGTAAGGTTCTCATATGTTCACGGAAACCCGGTCGCGCTCCTAGGCCCCATGTGTACCTACAGTACGGCAGCGACCAGACCGATCTGGACATCGCAGTGTGCGAGCCTCAGGCTTTTAGGGGCTTGGGGTTTAGGGTTCAGGGGGTTCGGGTTAGGGATTTAGGGGTTTAGGGTTTAGGGCATTGGGGTTTAGGGGTTTAGGGGTTTAGGATTTAGGGGTTTAGGGGTTTAGGGGTTAGAGTTTAAGGGTTTGTGGTTTGTGGTTTTGGGGGTGTAGGGTTCTATAGGGGCTTTGTAAAAAGAGACGTTATAGGGCTTCTATCAGGGCTCTATCAGAGTTTATCAGAGTTTTGTAAAGCTTAGAGCTTTATGGATTTCCAGCAGGGTTTCAGGAGTTACAGGTTAGGGGGTTTAGGGTATCAGGGTTTAGAGCTTGAAGTCGTAACTTGTGTGGGCTTTAAGGGTTTGGGCAGGGTTTAGGATTTGATTCTAATCTTTGATGCACCTATATTAGGGTTTAAGGTTTAGGGCTTGGCAGATTCTGGACCCTAAGCCCAAGCCCTACATCCTAAACCCCCTAAACCCTAAACCCTAAACTCTAGCGGCTCCACCAGCTTCCGAGGTACGGTTGCCCAGAGCAGGCGATCTCCTGGGTTCCACGCAAGCTCATTCCCCTGCTACTCGGCAGTTCAGGTTTCCGAGCTCATAGTGCAGGATTCTCTCAAACCCGATAATGGCCCTAAGCCCTAAACCCTATAATGGCACTACGAATCCCTAAGTTTAGGATTCGGATTCGGGGTGCGAGCTTGGCCAGGAAACTGCCCAAGTCTGATCGGCGAGGCTAGCTAAGGATGTGGCCCTAAACCCTAAACCCTAAACCCTAAATCCTCAATCCTAACTCCTAAACCCTAAACCCTCATCCCTAAACCCTAAACGTTTCTTCAAGGGTTCTATGAGAACGCTACAGAGGCCTAGGATGCCTTCTCGGGGTCACGGTGCTGTAATTTCGGGAGGGCCTAAATAATTACCAAAACTATTTTGGGGGTGTTCCTTACTATAGTTATAGTAGAATATGGCCCAAAACCCTATTCGAATTATTAAGGCCCCTATATTAGAGTCCAGGACCTGAGTAGCCACAGTCAGCCCAGCACCCAGAGAGGTGTTCTTTGATTGGTGCGCAGCTCGCAGTCGCCCGCTCTCTCTTTCTTTCTCTCTCGCTCTCTCGCTCTCTCTCTTCCCCTCCCGCTCTCTTTAGGTAATGTAGGGGCCGAAATAATTACAGTACCAACACTATTTTGGGGGTTCCTTATGATAGTTATACTATATTAGGCCCCAAACCCTATTCGCATTATTAGGGCCCCTATATTATGGCTTTGACCTCTGGTTCATACCCTTCATCGGCACAGCCCATGAACCTGAGATGCCGACAGTCCCCATATCCTGCGAACGTCCTTCGAGCCCTCGAGCCCTGGAACCCTGAATGCTGAACCTCTCGACCATGTTGAACCGTAACACATCATTCGAATTTGTTTGTACCCGGAGGTCAAAAGTTGGGGGTTTCTGCGTTTGGGCTTTGAGATTTAAGAATGTAGGGTTTATGGACGCAGACCTCTGCGCTTGTTCCGGGTCCTTGCTAGATCCGAACCATTTGTCCTCAACCTCTAACTTCAGCTTCTGAGTAGCTTCAGCACCTTAAGCACATCACCGGCAACGGCCAACCCTAAGCCCTATCATATCCTCGCCTGCCCTTCAAGTGCTCACATGCTCATGGTCTTCAAACCACACACTTCGAGAATCTGTATAATGTAATGCTAATTCAACATGAGCCACAGACCCTAACCCAAAACAACCCTAACCCAAAAGCCAGACAGGGTTTAGGGTTCAGTCCCTTTTGAAAATGTGTCAAACCCCGATCAGTCGGCAAGAGCATGACAGGAGGACTGCTGCAAGATCTGAAAATTAATAAGCTTCTCAATCATGTAGGTTGAACTCAGTATAGTAAACAGAGTCGGGCAGCACACCGTGTGTGTATATATACTCAGAGGTATATATACATATATACCAATATAGATCAACATATATATATATATACACACACATATATACCGATGTGTGTAAATATGTATGCTAAGCAAATAAACACAGAAAGAAGAAGTGGGTATTAGAGCCCCCTGCCCACTTTGAACACTACTCATGTTGTCCATTACGCCTTTGTGCAGAGGTCGCAGACTAAGTATGTTTATGGGTATCTTAACTAGGGCGGCCATAAGCAACTACACGCGTAGCTCCCCGAAGTATAGCCGTCCTTGCTAATTCCCCTGATTCTTTACGCACACCCTAACAGTTCGATTTTCTGAGAGATTGAGGCTGGAATATTGCATGGGGAAGAGCAGGCTGGTTTCGCAACGTGTAAATCGGGGCTTGAGGTACCTGTATCCCTAAACCCTAAACCCT